ATAGGCTATACAGTACTTCAAAATAAAATTCACTTTTTTTTAATGTAACTAAAATGTTTTATTTCGGCCAAAGCCAAAAAGAAAGTTCGAGAGGATGTTAATATGAAACGTGTGTATACTTGCTGCATTTGATGTATTTTAACCACATATAGTTCACATTACAGAAAGTAACACCTGTATACGTGTAAAGAAATGGCTTTGATATTGCCACCACGTGTGATTTCCATGCCACCCTAAGAAAATGTCTCTAGATGCTCCCCTGTTTAGCACTTGTAATTCAGTTAAAAAAATGATAAGTTGTTTGATATGCTACTATAATAATAATAAGAAAAAGAATTCTTCTTATTTCTATTTTCATTCTTATTATTATTATTATTGTGACTTTTGGTTAAAACAATTTTTGTTTTTTTATGCATTGGTGCCCATGATGACAGTGATGTTGTGTAAAACTATAATATGTGTTCAAGGTTAACTTGGCAATAATGCAATATCATGGGTGGTGATGGGATGATAGCTCTCATTAAACTTTAAAACTTTAGAATCTTCTATTCAAGTCTTTTCAACCTCGTATAATTTTAGTTGTTTAGTAATTTACACCGACTGTTATCTCACATCATATGACATCTAGAAATCAAAGGTCACTTTAGCCTTCTCGCCACTGTTTTACGACCCGTCTAGTTTCCAGGACACCTTAAAAGTGTGACGAACCATAATCTTTAGTTATATAGCCCTTAGTTTAAAAATAACTATCAAATCTATCTCTAAATAAGGTACAACCATAGAAAAATACACCATTTTTGACAAAAATATAAGAATATTGGGTCAACTTTTTCCAAGAAGTTTTCTTTCTCTGCTTCACTTTTTTTGTTTTTTACTACCAAGCAATGAGGAAGAGCAAAGGGTAATTTTAATATTGTTTTTGATGATCCAATAAGATGCTAACCAGAAGTCAAAATTTTTAAATTGTAACTCAAAGCTATAATTTAGTTCTGCCAGGTAATTTTCTTTCTTTTTTTAGTAGTAAAAACAACCACACATTTTCTTTTGCTAGACTCAAAACTTAAGAAAAAAAAAAAAGTAAGAAAACTTAAAAACAATAACAGATTGGCTCTTTTGAAGACCAAGAAGAACATTTCTCTCTGCACTCTCTTAGAATTCATAGGTCAATATTTTGGGTCACAATCTCAAAAATGTGAGTTATTACATTTTGACTAAGCTCTATTTGGAAATGTATTTATTTCAATGTTGGAATGAAGCTTCCATACTTTCACATGTTAGGATTACATTTCAACAGTGAAAAATGGTCACTACAATTATAAGTACAAGCAAAAAAATATATTTGAATTTTTAAAATCTATTATACTATTATAGCACCTGATTTAACCATAAAAGTGATTTATCTTCACTGTTTATGGGATTAGTTTTGATATATGATGTAAATTAGGCATAACCATACAAAATCAAAGGTTTGGGGCCATTTTTCATGAAAGTCTTGTTTCTCTTCTTCACTTTGTTTGGTTTTAACTGCCAATCAATTCAGATGGTTCACAGTAATTTTAATGTTGTTTTTGCACAACCTAACAGAATCCTTTTTCTCTGCACTTCATAGAGCTCATATGGTAAAGTAATAGCGTGTGAATTGTATGTTTGTGATCAGCACCGCGCTGGTCTGGACTGGCCTTTAAAATATCCACTAGTTAACCAAGCTGGCAAAAAAAGTCATGGAAAATTGATAGGTGGACGAAAGGCTTGAAAAGTGGGCTTCCTGGTCTGGGCGTGACCTGCACTTAGCACACTGCCTAAATGAGGAGTGGCTACTCATTAAAACCGCCAGTGGAGGAGTATTATCAGTTTTAAACCCAAAGATTTAGAGAACTACAGACGTGGCCACTTCTAACCTTCACTGACTTTTTTTCCTGTGGTAAAGTTGCTTTTAATTTTTCCAATGGCTGAAAAATTAATCCTTTTGTTTGTCCTTTGGTTAGTTGTAGCCATTTTTGGTAAGTAGCCTGATTTTATTGCATCAAATTTAAAATCCTCATTTTTTTTTTTCCAGTTTAAGAGTGATGATGATGATAGAGTAACAGGGTAGAGCACATGTTAACAAATTAACACATCAGAAGTAAAATATTAATTTTTATATAGTAGATTTTTTT